TTTAATCGGTAATTATAGCATCATGAGTTCTTAAACACTTATCTTCCAATGCCTATCCAGTATTTGCATCGTAGAAAAAAGTTTGTGTGTATAAAATTTATTAAATCAATTAAGCTTACCAAATAAGTGTAAGCAAATCTAAATATATAATAAACAAATTATCTTGCAAGTCTTTAAAAGAATTACAAAAAATAAATACATGATAACAAATATATATATATATTATGCAAAGACACAGAAAATTTAATTATCTCTTCTAATTTCGATCGGATTAATGTCTTCGGAAGTCAAATCATAGTCATGTTCTGGTGCTTTATTTTTGGGTTCTCTGAATTCCTATTATTGTTATTAGGTAAAGGTTTATAGAGTAAATGTGTGGAATGCGTAATATACGGAAAAGAAAAAATCAACTTAAGAATGGAACGATAGGTATATTTTAAGTACAAAATAGTTAAATACATGTGTTTTATACTTTTCTAGGTTTATATTCCAATTTCCTGAATAATGTTACGAGTGCAGCAGCTAATAATGCACCAAGGATTGGACCAAGATAATAGATCCAGTTTGCCGTCCCATAATCTCCAGTGATCAAAGCTGGACCAAACGTTCTTGCCGGATTTAAACTATTTAATAGTGAATTAATAAACTATTCTTGTAGTAATGAACAAATTGAATTTCAAAATAACATAATACCTGGCACCCGTATATGGACCGGCTAGAATATTATTAGAAAGATAAGGATATTAAAAAGCGTATAGATCACAAAAAAAGATAAACTATGACCATGTTACCTGCGATTCCAGAAATAAAGAGAGCCCATCCAATACCAATTGCTGCACCCCAATCTGCATTTTTTTCAACAGCAAGCATATACACTGCAAACGTGAGTATTGAAGTACAAAATGTTTCTAGTAATAATCCTTCCATAGCCGTGGTTCCAGAAGCCTTATATTTTTGTAATGCAAATAAAAAATATAATACTTTAGTTTTTTAAAAATTTTATATAATATATATATATTATATTATATTACCAAAGTGGTGGCACCGCCAGATGGACCAGGTTGAACAATTTCAATTAAATATGCACCAAGTAGAGCACCTAAGAATTGAGCAATAATATATAGGAATCCTTTGACGAGATGAAAATCTCTAGTAACCATTAATCCGATGGTAATAGCAGGATTAAGCACTACAATTAATGATAAAGGTTTAGATAAATATATATGAATAGTGTATATGAAATCAAAAATAATTATAAATCAACCTCCGCCCGAAATTGGACCCCAGACCCAAACGTTTACCAAGAGAGAAAATCCCCATGCAAATGGACCCGCAATAATTCCGCTGAAAATAATATAGTAACCATTTAATTAATAAATCAATATTCGAAGATTGCATTACCGGTAATTAAGAAATAGATAAAGGGTATACGTACACACCGGGATCAGCATCCACGATATTGTTTGTGAGTGCAACACCTCCTCCAACCCCTATGTGCAATAAAATATACTACCATCATCAAATGCTCAAAGCGTATGTTTTCACTTAATTATTTTAGTTAAAAGTAAAAAAGTCATCTATTACCAAAGAATATAAAATATGCAGTTCCAAGAAACTCTGCAAAACTTTCAACCAAATCTTTCGAACTATATTCAACCATTATTTATTAAATTCGTTTCACAAAGAAAATATTTGAATGGAATTATCTAAAGTTTTTTTTTTAAAAAAAAAGAAAGCACCCTATAATTAGGGTACAATTATTGATTTTTTTTAAAGCAGAAGACGCGAAAACCTTATTTAAAATTTGGTAATATTAATGTGTTTTGAAATTTTAATTTGTTCAAAAACATGGCATAAATTCCACGTTTTGACAAAAAAAACAAAAATGGAGAAATTTTGAGGAAGTTTGTACATTTATATTGTATAAATAATTATGGCTTACGCACTCACTAATATGAAAAGTCTAATATCAATTTTTATAATAATAAAATAATGATAAGTTATTTGAAAATTTCTCGTTCACGTAAGTTTAGAAAAGACAACATTAAACTAAGCCTCGAAAGAGTCATAAGCCAATTCTTGACATGCTAAAAGAACTGGATGATTTCGTTAAACCAAATTTCTATAGTTGATATGACTTTTTGTCTACTTTATTCTTAGAATTATCATTTCGCGTTTACACTTTGTGGCAATGTCACTATAAATTATTAATTATGTTTTGACTGCGGCATGTAAATTTATATTTGTTTAAATATGGCTTTTTGTTGTTCGATGAGGCGCAAGTATAATTATAAAGGAATAGACCACAGATATATATTTTCTTTAGTCACTCCTTTTTTACGCAAACAATTAGTAGTAATTCGCTGTATAATTTTTGTCTGTGTATTATAATCATCACAGCTCAATATTTACATAATATATACAGTACAAAAAGAATTTCATGCAAGAATCTCGATATCATTATAAAGCTAAAC